CTGCATTTATTTGATCAAACATACAGTATAAACAGTAATATTATGAAAGATTATATAAAAGTTTATATTTGAATAAATGTTAAAATGTAATTTATTCCTGTGATGCAAAGCTGAATTTTCTGCAGCTGTTACTCCAGTCTTCAGTGTCACATGATCCTTCAGAAATCATTCTAATATGCTGATTTGCTGCTTAAGAAATGTTTATTATTATTATCAATGTTGAAAAAAAGTTGTGCTGCTTAATATTTTTTGTGGAAACTTTTTTTTTAGGATTTTTTGATGAATAGACAGATTAAAAGAACAGTATTTATTTGAAACAGAATTTTTTTTGTAACATTATAAATGTCTTTACTGTTACTTTCAATCAGTTTAATGCGTTCATGCTGAATAAAAGTATTAACCACTTTCAAAAATAAATCTTTCTGCTCCCAAACTTTTGAAATGTGGAGTTAATGATGTATTTATTTTTATTTAAACAATTAAACACAAGTGTTGAATATGGACCTTTAAGTATCACTTAAACAGAAATCATGTTTCTGGATAAAACGGCTAGAGCCAGATTAGTCCGCTTCGGCTCAGTGCGATATCTCAGCAGCCGGCAGATATGCAGCATATTTGCCGGTCGAGGGATTGGTAGCAGCTCCCCGATGGTTTGACTTGTCAGAGGAGCGGAACGAAGGACCAGGTAGCCGACAGAAGATGACAGGCAGGCAGCAGGTTTACAGCGGGCCGCGTGCCCTCGTCTTATCTGCTCTTATCAGCCATCTCCCGGATACTGCCCTCGGCAGAATATCAATGCCTCTCTTTCTGTCAGCCGACTCTGTGTATCATGCAAATATGACTGATAAAATAAATATGGTGAGTTTATGGGAAGGCAGGGGCAGCCAGAGGTTACACGGCTCTGCTGCCTCTGTGTGCGGATGAGGTTAGACTAACTTGTTTGTCTGTCTGTCTTTCTTTTACTTCAGGTGTTCAGGAGAAAAGCTGTTGAACTAGGAGAGAAGCTGTTGCCGGCTTTTAAGACCCCTACTGGTGTCCCTTGGGCTCTTCTCAACCTAAAGAGGTCAGTGATGCACAAACAAACACATTTCCACATGAACTCCCGAGGCTTTCTTCAGCCAAGCAGGTCAGATCTCTCCACTGCCTGTCTTAAGCACTGTATCTGAAGCCTCAAACCCAGCAGCAGCTCTCTGTCACCACCCGGTTCACCAAGATATGATAATGAACAAACAGTTCAGTGGGATTATTTTGTTGCAGAAGCCATTTTCTGCAGCTTGATTCTCTGACTGTTAAAGTGCTTCTTGCTTTGTTGCTGTTTTATGCTCTTATACATTTTTTAGTAATTCGACATAGTGTCTTTCAGCTAGCTTGGTCTCAGAAATATCAGTTAAAGGAATAGTTCACCTAAAAATGAAAATTTACTGTTAATTTACTCACCTTCAGGTGACTAGGTGACTTTTTTTTCTTCAGTAGAACAGTAAAGAAGTTTTTTTTTTTTAAACCTTTATCCTTTGTGATTTCATAAAATTGAGAAAAAAAGCATATACACGCAAATTTAATACCCGTGGCTCCTGACTAGAGATGCACCGATCGATCGGCCAGGGATCGGAATCGGTTGATTTTCCTCATGATCGGCCCGGATCGGTGATCGGTCGGTCAGTCTCACTTCTTTCCAATTTCGAGCCGATACGTTTCGTTACCAGCGGCACAGGCAATAACATCAGCCGCGCATTCTCACTCTCATCTCTCCGACGACCCCTTCTCTCTCACACACGTCTCATTCGCTCCGGTTAAATAGTGCTTGTATTGCGCATTATAGTCATTACCGCAGATTTAGCGCTTATACCAAACGCGTACGCACCACCACTGATCTATATTAGTGGAGCGCACAATCCGCGCTTAGTCTCAAACAGCTTGTGAGTCACAAATACCAAAATGAGTGGCTAACTGTGCTAAAACGTTCAAATACATAAAAAATTGTCAAAATGTCCGTCTTAGCGAGTATCCAGTTAAACACAGTCAGTTTTGGAACGTTAAATAGTTGAGAAAGAGAACGCATGTTGTATAACAGTATATTGGGTCTGTGGATAAACTCTTAAAGGGACCGCAAAAAAGTAGATTTTTGTTTGTATATGCTGTCAATTATAGTTCTTAGAAAGAAAATCGGAATCGGCAAAAATCAGTATCGGCAGATCACACTAACAAAAAATCGGAAATCGGAATCGGCCAAGAAAATTGCAATCGGTGCATCTCTACTCCTGACGAAATATTGGATATATTGGATATATGGTCTTATGAAGCGAAACAGTTGGTCTGTGAAAGAAACTGAACATTATTTACAACATAATTACCTGTAATCCAGATGGTAATATAGTCATATGTGTACGTATTCATGCATTTTTTTTTTTTTTTTATCTTATATAACGTTAAGCCTAACATGAAATAATTGTCAGAAAAGTCTTTTTTTTGTTTTTTACATGCAACAGTTTATTGAACCTTTAGACAAAATCTAAAAAAATCTAATATTTTTTGTATTAAATATCATATTTGGTACATCAGGCTTGATGTTTTATATAGGAGGGGGGAAAAAAACACCTTTTAATGGGACCCAAAATAAAATATGCAATTTGTTGCAGTTTTTGATGTTTATATGGCCAAAAAGTAAAATTTTGATAGTACGTATTGTACATCAATGAGATCTTTATAACAATATAGCAGATTACTTAAATAATGCATATAAATTTCAGTTCTCACACTATATTTCCCAATAATATGTATGCTCTGAAGTTTCAAAATATATAATGCAATGGAGTGCACTGATGATTTAGAGACGAAAAATAAATGTTCTTTATAAGCCTGCTGTATTTGATCGATTTTAACATGGTTTTCTAAAAAAAAAAAGATCTTCAGATAATCAGGTTTAAGTTTAAGTCCAGTAAATGTTCATCTTGAAATATAACATTTATTCCTTACATTTACTTTATAAAAATCAGAAAAGATTTTACAGCAAATTGACATGTGTACCATGAGCTGTAGGTGTAATACAATTCTAATAGACTTTTACTTGCTACAAAAGTATAATCTGCCAATCAGACAACAGAAGACATGAAGTATTTTGTGCTCAACAGGTTTTTCAGCTATTTTTGATCATGCTGATAATTTAGAGGCCTTAATTTATGTATCAAATATCACACAGTTGGCTTTATAGGGTTTGCACTAATGCCAGACTTATCTTTTATTATAAATCGAATCTTTTGGATTGCAACCATCACTTTCTATGTAAAAAGAGAAAATAATCAAATAAGATCAAATAGATTTCATTTGTGGTGTATTTGAATTCACTGTATTATCCAAAACTGTTACTTTACAGCAAAAAAATATTAGGGAAATAGACCATGACCATAATATATAATGACATAAAATAGATTATATGGTCATGCAGCCCACTCCTGATTCATACACTTCACAACAGGGTCAGAGATCCCAGATGTCCTGGTGTGTGATGGATGTCTGGCCACCCGAAGCTCTTCAATCGTAGGCAAGCAGGAAATCAGTGCAGAGATCTTGAGAAAGATAAGCTGTCAGAGGATTTGATTGGATGAGTTATCCCTCGACTGACAAGACTACACAACTCTTGTCTTTTTGCAGTCAGGCACCGCTGGCGAGGACAATGCAGAACGAGTGGGTGGCACATGGCAGAGAGCACAAACATACTTCAGTGTTTATCAAAGCTTTTCATATTAGCTTGAGTGTCCGCGGTGTGTTTCCTTGTTTAAACTGCAGTAGAACTGGAGTGAAGTGACAAATGCTCTAAATGGAGCGGCCGAGCGTTTTATAACAAGGAGCGGCTAATAACACAGCTACAGGACAAATGGTCTTCACGTCCTGTCAGTAAATGTAGCTTTCCACCATATCTGCACTTAGCACAAGTGCTCCTATCACCTCTAGCGAAGGCGCTTTCCTCCCTTCATGTGGGTCACCTACATCGTTAATTCTGTCCACATCGCTAATGCTGTTTGCTTCCACGCTATTGTTCGCTTTGGCTCGAGGCACCTGTGGTGCCGCCGCTGTACGCCTGTAATTCGTGTCGCAGACCCTTTTCAGGCTGAATGTGGTTATGTAAGTGTATTCATAGTGGGCAGACATATCCTAATGCATCTTCATGAAAGGTGCACAGTTGAAGGCATTTCAAAGAAGGACAATGTTTTATTTTGTAAAAGGATTCTCAGGTTTTTATGGGCTTTTAATGGCTGTAATATGACAAGGCAGTGGAGAGACACAGGAAATCATCAGGGAGAGTGAAAGGGGTCATGAGGAGCTAGTATGGAACTGATGAATTCGCATTCATATCCCCTTAATTTAGTAATTCATTTCTAAAGTACACAAAGTATATTAAATATAAATATATGATTACATATAATAAATATAAAAAAATACATTTATAGCGAGAGAGAGAGGTATAACGCATATTAGTTCTTGTATTATATTATACATATACATATAATACAAATAAATAAAAATGTTTATACATATTTATTTTATTTACATATAATAAATATAAGGAATATTAATGATATTTTTACACATACATGTATTAATTTATATCCATTTAATTATCACCAGTTTTATGCCTATTTTATGTTATTTTGTTTCCATACTGCATTTATATTAGTGTTACATTTGTACATGAATAAATCATTTAGATTTTAATTTTGTATAATAGAAATGTAAGATAGTATATTTTGAAATTACTAATTTTATTTATATTTTATATACAATCTTATTTCTATTTTTAATTTAAATAATAGAAATATATGCATTTTA